CTGTTATTTTGCTGAAAATGCTTATTTGATCTCACAGTTTTCTGGTGTTCTGTTTAAAAATATTTTATTATTTTTATTTTTATGTGTATAAGTGTATTGCCTGCATGTATGTAAGTGTACTGTTTGGTGCAGTGCCTGAGGAGGTCGGAAGAGGGAGTCAGATTCCCTGGAACTGGAGTTACAGATGGCTGTTAGCAGCCATGTGGGTGCTGGGAACCTGGGTCCTCCGCAAGAGCAGTCAATGCTCTTTGCTGAGCCATTGCTCCAGCCCCTCTGAAGTTCTTACAATCTTGAATGTATATTTCATGTCATCTGCAAATAATGATATTGACTTCTTTCCCTATTTGTATCTTTTTCTTTCTCTCATCTTAATTGCTCTAAAACTTCAAGCACTAATTTGAGGAACAGTGGAGAAAGTGAACACCCTTGTCTTGTTCCTGATTTTAGTGTAAATGTTTTGAGATTTTTCCCAACTTAGTATAATATTGGCTAAAGGTTTCTCACATACAGCCTTTATTATGCTAAGGTATGTTCCTTCTATTTTAGTTTCCTCATATTCTTATCATGAAGAGATTTTGGGTTTTGCCAAAAGCTTCTTCTATATATATTGAGATGACCTTGTGATTTATGTTTTGAGTCAATTTATGTGATGTATTACACTTACTGATTTGCATATATTGAACCATTCTTGAATTTCTAGAAGGAAGCCATTTGGTCATGGTGAATATTTTCGATGTGTTCTTGAATTTGGTTTACAAGTGTTTTATTGATAATTTCTGCATCTATGCTCATCAGCAAGATTGGTCTATAATTTCCTTTGTGTGTGTTTTTGTCTGGTTTTGATCTTGAGAAATACCAGCTTTGTTCAAGGTATTTAAAATGTTTGGTAGCATTTTCTTCCCTTTCTCCTTCCTTCTTCTTTTCCCTTTTCTTTTTCTCCCTTTCCTTTCTTTTCTTCCTTTTTTTGAGACAGGGTCTCCCTGTAGCCCCAGCTGGCCTGGAACTATGTAGACCAGGCTGGCCTCGATCTCACAGAGATCCACCTGTCTCTGCCTCCAGCGTGCTGGGATTAAAGGTGTGGATAGAATTCAGCAGTGACTCCATCTGGCCCTGAACTCTTTAGTTGGGAAATTTTAAAAAATTACTCTTTCAATATTATTGCTTACTATGGATCTGTCTGTCTCATTTGGTAGGTCATCAGGAAGAATGGCCTATAATTTCCTTTGTGTGTTTTCATCTGGTTTTGATCTTGAGAAATACTGGCTTTGTTCAAAGTTCTTAAAGTGTTTCATAGCATTTTTTTCCCTTTCTTTTCTTTTCGAGACAGCGTAGACCTATCTGTCGGTCTCATTTGATAGGTCATACGCATCTAAAATATTCTTTTAGATTTTCCAATTTATTGGAATATAAGCTTATTTTTCTCAATTTCATTGGTATCTGTGGTAATGTTCCCTTTTCATCTCCAATTTGATTCATTTGTATTTCCTCCCATGTCCTTTTGGCTAGGGATTTTTTTTTTATCTTGTTTATTTTTTCAAAGAACCAATTCTCTGTTTCATTGATTCTTTATATTGTTTTTATTTCCATTTCCTTAATTCATGCTCTGATCTTATTCCTTTCAATCTACTGATTTTGGCTTTGGTTCACTTTTTATTTTTCCAAGACCCCAAGATTCATCATTAAATTGTTTATTTGAAATCTAATTGTTAGTTTGAGAATTGTCTCACTGTGTAGTCCTGGAACTTGCCATGTAGATCAGCCTGGCCTCAAACTTGTAGTGATTCTCCTGTCTTGCCTCTGAGTGCTGAGATTACAGGTGTGTCACCATGTCTGGGTTATCTCTGATTTTTCAAAATAGGTACCTGAAGCTGTAAACTTCCCTCTCATGACTGCTTTTGTTGTATTACATAGGTTTTGCTATGGTGTGTTTTCATTTTCATTTGATTCTAGGAATGTTTTATTTTCCTTCTTGATTTCTTACATGATCCATTCATTATTCAATAACGTGTTGTTCAATCTCTATGAGTTTGTATATGTTCTACAATTTTTCCGGTCAATTTGTAGTTCTATTCCATTGTGGTCAGACAGAATATATGAAATTATTTCAATTTTCATGTATCTGTTAAGACTCACTTTGTGTTCTATTTTAGAGAAAGTTCCATTGACTGCTAAGAATATCCAGACAGGAATGTTATATACATACTTGTTTGGTTCATTTGATGTTTGATGTCATTTAACTCAGATATTTCTCTGTTCATATTTTATTAGATGGACCTATATATTGGTGGAAATGGTTGGGTTAATCTGTTTCTCTGTATTCAGTAGTGTTTGCTTTATGAAACTAAGTGCACTGATATTCCGTGTTTAGAATATATGCTTAGAATATATCTTCTTGATATACTGTTCCCTTAATCAGTATGTAGTGACCTTTATATTTTCTGATTTTGGCTTGAAATATGTCTTGCTGGGTGTCAGAACAGCAATACCTACTTGCTTTCTGGTTCCATTTGTTTGGAATACTTTTTCCTATCCTTTCACCCTCAGGTTGCACCTGTCTTTGATGGTGAGGTGCATTTCTTGAAGGTACCAAATACATGTATCCTATTTTTTTTTTAATTTTTAAAAATGATTTATTTAATAACAACATACTTAGAAGAAGCATATCATTACAACACAATTGACATATTCAATAACGGTTTCCTGAGGTAGGATGCATCTCTTTCAAAATTGGCTGTAAATTTTTAGGTTTACAGTTGAATTATTACAGTTATACAATATTGTACTCATTATAAACCCTATAAGACATAAATTAAATGATGTTTTAACCTTTAAAAAGATCTCCATTTCATTATTAAAATACACAGTTTCATACAGAAAAATTCTTTTTCAATGCAATTGACATTGGATGTTTGCACATGCATTTCTAATCTCTAAATATCTGATTATTACTAGTCACTGTTGGTTACTTTCTGAGCTTCTAGGCATCTGAGCATGGATATAAAGTCATCAGGTAGATTTCAATGGTAATGTTTTTCACATCTATTTTTTTAAAAAATCTGTCTTTGTATTTTGGTTAGTAATTGAGACCCTTAATATTTATTACTGGAAGATGTACATAAATTCCTTTTATTTGGTTAATTTTGTAGTGCTTGGTATTTTCCTATCCCTCATTTGCTTAACTACTGTTCCTGTGTGTTCTTTCCTATAAACTTATGGATGTGTTTATGTTTCTCTTTAATTCAAAGGATGCCTTCAAGTATCTTCTACAGTACTGACTGACTTAGTGACATGAATTTCTTTTGTTTGTTTTTATTGTGGGAAGTTTTTCTTTCCCCTTCAATTATGGCAGATAGTTTTGTTGGATATAGTAAACTCTGTTGGCAGTTACTGATTTTCAGAGCTTGAAGTGATTTGTTCCAAGCCCTTCTGGCTTTTAAAATTTGTTGAGAAATCTACTGCTATTCTGAGGGACTTACTTCTATAAGTGCCTTTGTTCTGTATATTTAGTGTTTTAACTATGACACAAGGAGTCAAAGCATAGCCATACTATGAAAATATAATGATAGTGAATTAAAAAACAATCATCTTGGGCTGAAGAGGTGGCTAAACAGTTAAGAGCATTAGCTGCTCTTGCAGGGGACCAGGTTCAATTCCCAGAACCTACATGGCAGCTAACAACCATCCATTAACTCTAGTTCCAGGGGATCCGACACCATCTTCTGACCTCTACAGGCATTGCGTGACATGGGTATACCAACCTACATGCTAGCAATACACTCATCATCATCATCATCATCATCATCATCATCATCTCCTCAACCCCAATCATTTTAGAAATAGAGCATCACTGATAGTACTGTGTATACCAGGATAGTAACTACTAAGGGTATGAGTGTAAAAGAGGAAATCAGAGAAAGACAAGTGACTAGTAGTAGGCTTATAAAGAAATAGAGGACATACAAGTAAACAGAGACAATAAGGACAAAAAAATCATGTCAAACTATTTTAAGATGGGAATCCTCTCTCTCTCTCTCTCCCTCTCTCTCATATATATATATATATATATATATATGAGTGAACGGTCATGTATGATCTGAAAGTTAGTACTGGTAATTAAGATTGGAATAAAGGAGCCTGATTGCCACCAGCTATGCTATCAAGGGAAATCAGTTTACTTAGTAAATTGCAGTCAACAAAACAGATGTTGCTTGAGAACTTATTATTCAATAAATTCTGACATTATGGAAAAAACAGA